TTGTACCAAGTTGTGCCTGAAGCTTGGAGCCGCCAAGTGACCTGTCGTGGGTCGGGCTAGGCAGTAAGGGCAGCAGTCGAGTCCCTTGTGAACAAAAGGGTCTGGGTTTCGTTGTGTGCCTACGGCTTGGGCTTGGGCCAATGCGCGGCACGGCGACAGTATACCTGTGGCCTTAAGTTCAAGCTCGTGAAGTCTTCTGTTTCAGCCCTGGAGCCAAGGCAAGGATTAGGCTTAGTATTCGTACGATTGTAGAGCAAGTCAAGAATCATTTCTATAATTTGTTGTTTGCCCGCTCTTGCAGCTTCGCTCAGGAGGTTGATCTTGAAGCAATTCTCCCAGAAAGTACAGACGAAGCCTCAGTAAGGAAAGCCTGCGACACTCCGCCGAAATCCTGAACAGGTTGACATATCTAACCCAAACTCCGCGATTGAATCAAGACTTAAGTCAGATTCGTGTGCGGGTGAGTTTGATTATTCCAGTGATCAAGTGTCCTGTCCTGTCGGTTCCTGCTATCTTTTGGCACTAAAGAAGACGACTTTTGGTGAAATTTAGGAGCTGGCAGCCAGATGCCGAAGCTAAATATTTCCGGAAGATAGCGACATATCATCTGCTCCGTGTTGGGAGACACAGCTGGCACTACCCCTGCCTTTGTGTCTGAGGTGAGCGAAGGGAGCGTGAGAACGAAGAGACCAAGCTGGCAGCTGCAGCCGACAAATACGTCGGAGCGATGTGCTCTTAATGGGAGTTCGGGAGGTGGTGATGTCAGCGCACGCATGACACAGCAGAAGGTGTCCAGGAAGCAGGCATCCAGACATGCTGAGACGTGCACTTCTCGGGTTCTTCCATCCTGTTTTGACTATCCCAAAGGGTCCCATGTACCTAGTTAAATAGTAGAAGTAGAATGTAGGGTTTCTATGTTAGGAAGTAGCACTATGATTTAGGGCAGTATCTCTCATAACAGTACATGGGAATCTTTGGGTATGCTTTCGGGGACGTTTCTCCTGAAGGTGGCTGCGGTGGATTCTGAGGCCCAAATCCAAATCCGAAAATCAACGGTGGGCTTAGAAAACTGTTGCTTTTTGCAGGAGACTCGGTCCCGGCAGCTTGCATTGAAGTCTCCGTCGTGGCTGTTCGGCGAGGTTGGAAGGCCTGCATGCATCAGACACGAGCCACAGTGTCCTAAACCCTAAACCCTAAATCCTAAACCCTAAACCCTAAATCGTCCGAAATGCTGCTTGGTTGAGGTGTGGCAGGTGGCAGATGAAGGGCCAAAAAAAGCAATTATCCTCTCATTTGTGGCCTCCTTCCTCGTCGTAGTGTGTGTTGGCTTTTAACGCGAAAATCCGCATCATTGAGGCTATACCTCATGTCGTATATTTCTTTGTATGGTCGCGTTCATTGAGGGGACACCTTCATTCCTTCTATGAGCAAGATTCGATATCATTCTCCCTGTCTGTCGCATTATGGCCGACATACATCAACATGTTTTTGGATACAGGTTTGGAACCCTTGGGAAAGCCCACTAGCTCAGCTATACTACCTGCTGCCTACCGATGATAACCTTCCCTACTCAGATGTGTCTTGATTATGACTCTGTACATGCGCGAGCCAAATTGATAGTAGGCAATGGCTCTTGCTTGTTGGGCACGCTCATTCCTTAATTACATGAGCAACATTGCATATATCGCCCTGCCGCCATCTAAGCCTGGTTTTCCTCCGTTCCATATACAATACTACCATCCTTTTTGCACGTACCAAAGTAGCAGAGAAGCGCAGTGCCTGCGTGCATGACTTAGCAGGCGACGTGTTTGGCCCTTGTGAATCCCATGCCTGGAACGAGGTTGAAGTCAACAGGCACGAGGTTTCTTAAGATCACTTTAGCCCGTCTGCAGATACAGCACGGGACATCGGGACATAGGAACGAGTTCCTGGTTCCATTGTGTATTCAGCATGCAGAAATCGAAAACCGACAGTGGAAGCAACTGGGAAATGGCCCGCCCTTGGATGTAGATCGTAAGAGGGGGTGGCCCTGTATGTGTATGTATATATACATATATATAAGATATGTATACAGTTGTACACATGTGTATACATATGTCTTTATGTATATATATATATATATGTACATATATGTTTTCGTTTAATTCTTTACATATATATATATATATGTATATGTGTATGTATGTATATGGGGCCCTTTGAGCGCACGCTTTGTTGACGTTTCCGTTTTGGTGTGAGTATATATATATATATATTTATTTATTTATGTATATACATACATACATATATATATATATATATATTTATTTATTTGTTTTATATACACATGTCTATATGGATAGATCGACAGGTAGATACATATAGGTCGGGGCTCCTATATACCACCCGCGCCCACCAAGCAGTACGGAAGGCCCAGTCAACTTGTCAACCCCGCTACCCAGAGACTCCAATATCCCTTAACTAAGGAATATACCTTAAATTAGAGTAGGATCCCTAATATGATTTAAGGTATATTCCTTAATTGAGGGATATTGGAGTCTCTGGGTACCAGCTCTACCAACCGCCCTCAGACCCAAAGCCCCAGACTCCAAAATTCTCGGAAGCCCGCTAGCCCGACCAAGGGCCCAAAAGACAAATATAGGAGCCTAAGTAATTGCCAAGACTAGTTTGAGGTTCCTATTGTAACCATAGTATGGTATACCCTGAAACCCTATTCTAATCGTTGAGGCCCCTACTTTAAACAAATTCAGGAAGCAGGAAGAGCCGTCAACAGCAACGCTTCAATGCAGGATCTCGAGAAGCAGGCGGATGACATGTTCAACGCAAGGCGTGGATCCTGTCTGAGCATTCTGAGCAGGTCAGGTAAACCCGCAAGATTTTAGGCGGGGCTACATATATATATATATATACACACACACATAGATAGCAGGTAGGTATCAGGACTTTATATTGTGTACATATGCATATATATATATATGAACATGGTTCAAGAATATTGATGTAGGTGTGTGTACCTATATATATATATGTGTATAATGCACACACACACACACACCTTTGGAGTTTGCCCTCGCTGCAGTCCTTGTTTCTCTGCCAGCTCCTTGCCCCACCCGACATGCTGTGGCTGTCCAAAATAGGCGATGCTGATGGTGGACTTCTTGAGTTTTTACTTCCGGTTCAGTCAGTTCCTGCAGGTAGACCCCCTGTCCATAGACCCACCAGCTGTCCCTAAACCCTCAGTTCTGCGATGTGGAGAACTCCGACATGTGTATCAGATTCGTCGCCTTCAAAAACTCCCAAGAGCCAGATACTTGGAGGATCATGGGACTTAGTAGGTAAGGTTATAAGTCCCCTAATTGGGTTATAAATATAGTTACCTTAATTATAACCCTACTTACTAAGTCCCATGATCCTTTAAGTAGGGTGCTGCATTCTGTACTCGCGCGAAAGCTTCGACCTGGAGGCTCGAGGAGTCCTCGAAGGCGGCAGAGCAGTCGGATCCAGATGAAGCCCCTCCGCTAGCTGTTTTTTTGTATATCAGGGTTTTAGGGTTTCAGGGTTTAGGGTTTAGGGTTTAGGTTTAGGGTTTTAGGGTTTAGGGTTTAGGGTTTAGGGTGGGTACCTTAAAGGGTTCCTTTGAAGGGTACTATAAGGGTTCTATATTCGGTGGTTCTTTTAGCTGTTGGTTGTATATCAGGGTAATTACCTTAAAGGCTTTCCTGAAGGTTTCTATCAGGGTACTATATTGCTTGGTTCTCTTGGCTGCTCCTGAAAGGGATCTAGAAGGGTTTAGGGTGTAGGTCCCTCCGTTAGCATAATGGTTGTATATTCGGGAAGATTTGAGGGATCTATAAGGCTTTCTGTAGGGTTTCTATAAAGTATACGTACCCTAGTAGGGTTCTATATCGGTAGTTCTCTAAATTAGGGATCCCGTTTAGGGTTCTTGTTAACAAGGGCGCCTCATTATTTGGGGGACTTTGGGTGCTCGAGAATATTACGCAACTTGGACACCCAAGCAATTGCGCAGATAGCGAAAGTAGTATCCGTCGAGCGTGCGGAGGTGTTTGCCCTCCGGGGACATAGTTCTTGGATAGATTAAAGAAGGAGTGGCAAAAGATACGAAGGAAACACTCGGATTTGGGGGTTTGGGGGGTGTCCTACAAGCTCTACGTCTCCACGGGTGCTGTAGCTTCGGTTTTGGAGCTTTCGGGTCCAGTGTTTAGAGGGACTGTCGTGGTCCTCTTAGTTTTGTGGGGTTTGAGGGTTACCTATAGTCTCCATTGTAGTTCCTTTTTTTGGTTTAACAATTATATATTAAGGATTTTATAAGGTATCCCCCAAAAGGAACTACAATGGAGACTATAGGTTAGATTTGAGGGATTTAGCAGGCTCTCGGTTCGGGCACTTGGGGCCCAGAGTTCCGAAGCCCGATTCCCTAAACCCTATCCCCTAAACCCTAAACCCTAAACCCTAAACCCTATAACCCCTAAGCCTATTCTAAGTCTGAATACTCTCAGAGCTCGGGCTGCAAAGGGTTTAGGGTGGCCCTAAACGATTCAAGGCAATCCTGGGCTATCGCGACCTGCTTCTGGCGCTGGGTCGTGCTCAGGAACTGATCCTTGGATGAGGGGGACACTGCTTAGGTTGACTGGTGTACTTATAAGTTTGGACTGGGGTTGAGGCCTTCCAGCGGTTCGGGGTTGTCTGGTAGAAGGTTTTGGGTTTTTGGGTTTAGACCCGTGGCAAAAAGAAAAAGGTTGAGAACCTTTCCCGCCCCAAGGGTCAGGCACTGCTGCAGGTCGCCAGTGGGGAATGCTTGTCTTTGGTGCTAACTTTGGACGAAGGCTTGATTAATTTCTGAGATGGGGGTCTGAGCCAATGTCAGGTTTGCAGGCACGGAAGTGAGAACACCACGAGCTAACTAACTAGCTTTTTTCTGGTGCCGACAGCCCCGAAATGGACAGGACACCACTGTGAGCCCCTCACAACAAAAGGAGGGGCAACCATGTTGACAGGAATGCAGAAGCACGGCCTGCAGCAAGAAGCTTACGGCAGCGCTATACATCTCATGTACTCATCCATCCTGAAAAACAGCCAAGCCAAGAGACAACCGACAACGGCCTTTTCTCATACACACCAGACGCGGGGGAGCCTGGGTGGGCAAGAAAGGAGCCTAATCAAATTCAACCACGAGGATTCGGCGCAAATGCGTTAATCTCCATGGTACGAGTTGTTTTTGCTGCTGCTCGCACAGCTTTCGAAGCACCGAGGAACAGCCCCCAGAAGCAACCGTTACGGTCTCTGCTGGACCAGCTTGTCAGCACCGCCAGCTCCGAAAGAGACGGCATCCGCCTGCTGGAGCAGTACGTGCCTTGGCTGGTGTGTACCCTGGGACCTGGGCCTGAGACTGCACCTTAAACATACCTTAAACCCTAAAGTGGTTTAGGGTTTAGGGTTTAGGGTTTAAACCCTTAAGGGTTTAAAGTCAACCCTGAAGGCCTAAATGCGGGTTTTTGTCGCACATGCCAGAGCAGGACTTCCCTGAAAACGATGTTAAAGTGTCTAAGTCGAAGTTCTTGTAGCTGTATTGGCTCCTGAACTTGGCTTCCGTTCCAACTTGGACCCTTAGCTTACAGGTTAAGTTCGGCCTGCAGCCCAGCAGTTTGTTTTTGAGGTCTCATGTGTATTGGGAAACGAACACGATGCAGGTTCGAAAGC